TTAATTTTTTCCATATTTTCCAATATCTTGTTTATATATATATATATATATATATATATATATATACATATACTTAAGATATTGGAAAATATGGAAAAATGTAAACAAAATAATTAGAACAAAATATTCTGACAAAAAAAAAAAAAAAACATCTATTATCTTTACCCACTTCTTCCTTTTCGGGTCACAGGGGATGTCCATATTCAGCTAACACTGTGTGAGAGGCCGGGGACACTGTGGACAGGGACACAAAGAGAGGACCGGGATCACACCCCGGCACCTTCAGCTGTCTGTCCGTGGCGACGAGGAGCTTTTGAGCAGTCCTGCTGCCCAGGAGGACTGAGAGGCCTGTCAGACCTGACAGCAAGCTGGATCCAGGTGGACAGATCGGTATCTGTGGACAGATTCTTCAAATTTGCTGCAGGAGATCCTTCCTGCCCACAGCTATCAGCATCTATAACAACTCTTGAAAGAAACCAGTATGATGAGCTACTACAACACTTAATTTCCCATTGGGATTAATAAAGTATTTTTGAATTGAATTGAAATGAGACAAACAACCATTCAGTCTCTCACTCACATCTATGGACAATTTAGAGTTACCAATCAGCCTAACATGCATGTTTTTGGAAACCGGAGTAACCGGAGAAAACCCGCGCATGCACTGAGAGAACATGCCAACTCCACCAAGAAAGACCCCCCAGCTGGGATTCGCTCTGGTCGACCTTCTCGCTGAGAGGCGGCAGCTCTACAAACTGCACCACCGTGCTGCCTAGACTAAAAACAGAAAACTCAAATTTATTTCCTGATTGTTTTCTTTGTAAAGACAATGAGAACTTACTAAAAATGAGCTGGGATTCATTTATTCATTTATTTTTGTTCAAATAAAGTGCAAGGGCTCTCAAAATGTATTTATTATTTTTGTTAAAGAAAGAGGTTCTTCTATGACAGCGATGTTTTAGCCACCGGTGATTGTTTTCACTTGGATTCATTTTTCAGTGTTGCTCGACATAAGTGTGCAGAGCATTACAATCATAGTAAAATTCAAACAAACCAGTAAAAAAATATAGTTTTATCAACAACATGAGAAACTCATCCGTAGATAACTCTTCAATTGGTGTTTGCTTGAATATTTGCAATATTAACTGATAAAAAACTTCTTAGATTATCTTCTGGGGAAAACAAGGAGCCCGACATTCCTAAAACCAATCATAGCATCAGTGCCACACCTACGTATACTTCTATTTCTGGCACCACGGAGTGTTGTAAAAAGCTACATTAAGCGTCACTGATGCAGAGCGATTTTCTCTTTCTGAGAAGCAATGCCAGACCTGACAGTACAAGGATTATAAAGTGGGCTGAGTTCCAATCAAAGGGCAGAGGGATGATGGTAAATGTAGCTTGTTCTCCCCAAATTAATTTACAGTAATTCCTGCATTCTTCAAGCTACTTCTTGCACATCACATTTTGTAGAGCAGTCAGACATCTTGGCACAGAACGATCAACTAACAGAATCTGAAGCTTGTTTAATAGGATGTGTTTTAGAGGAGTGGAGTAAATGGGTGATATCGTCTCACTGAGTAATTACAATAGAAATAACTTATAACTATTTTGTTGGTTCTTGAATATGTGAAATGTTTTTTTTCTCTGCTTCCCTGCTGAGGCTCTGGAGACCTCTCACTAAAAACAAAGCACGCTTTATGAGAAATGAGTGTTTTTACGCACATCTGGAATGACTAAACCTGGACTTTTTTTTTTGTCTGCCAGCATCTGATGTCTCGGTCATACTGTAATCAAATCTTATTAGAAGAGAACAATGTAGGGGGTCATTTTTTTATTTGCACATCTTTTTTTCATTGTGTGAATGCTTATGAAGCATTCACACTATTAAGATCATATTTCCACTTCTAAACTCTTAACGTGCGTTTTTCGGCATCTTTTTTGTTCCAAAATTTTTGTGCTATTTCAACAAATCATATATCAAAGTGTTCAGCACTTTCAATCCTGCTTTGACTTTTGGTATTGGTGCAACTTTAGCTTTTTGAAATATTTAGCCTTTTCTCTACTATTTTTCACATAGAAAATGAATTGAGCTCATTTTATATCCTTCAAATCTTTAGATCTGTTTACAACCTTTAACTCTGGTTCAGCTTCTTTCAACTTCCTTGGGCAAATTTAAACATTTTTCAGCTACTTTCAGCTAAATTCAACTGTTCTGTGCTCCTTTCTTCTTCTTTCTACTAACTAAAACATTTTTGTGCTTCTTTAACTTATTTCTGCTCATTTCAGATTGTTAGGTTATGTTTCAGCTGGTTTCTGAAAGTTTCAGCTTTTTCTGCAATTTCAGCTACTATTTAACTGTTTTATGCTAATTTTAGCCTTTTTTTGCTAATTCCACATTTATTGCACTCAATTTTTTCTCAACCTAATTAACCTGTTTAAATAAAGATTGAATGAATTCAGAAAAAAAAAGATCTCTCCACTCCCTTCTTCTAATTTAAACTTGGTTTTGCTATTTTAGCTACTTTTCAGCTGTTTTGCTAATTTCAGCTTTTTTCAGATCATTTCCACTTTTTTATGCTCATTTCTGCTTCTTTCAGCCTAACTGGGCAAACATGTCTTCTTTCTGCTTTCTTCAGCTAATTTAAACTTGTTCTACCCTTTCAGTTAAATTTTTTAGCTAATTTTAGCTGTTTTCAGTTAAATTAAATTTTTTCTTAGCAATTTCTGCTACTTTTAGCCTAATTAGTATCTTTATCCTTATTTCAGCTTGTTATTCTCCTTTCAGCTTTTTTCTGCTAGTTTCAGCTTTTTCTGCTATTTCAGCTTCTATTTAGCTGTTTTATGATAATTTTAGTTTTTTTCAGCTAATTCCATATATTTTTTAGTTCATTTTAGCTCTTTCCACTGCCTTCTTGTAGTTTAAGCTTCTTTCTGCATTTTCAACTACAGCTATTCTTTTGCTAATTTCAGTTTTTTAAGCTAATTTCCTAATTTTTGGGCTCATTTCTGCTTATTTAAACCTAATTCAGCAAATATGTGTTTTCATTTGATAATATAGGCTTGCTCTTCCATTTCAGCTTCAATTCAACATGATTTTTTAAGCTGATTTCAGCAATTTTTCAGCAAGTTCTTCTGCATTAAGCATTCACGCTGCATTTTTGCAGGAAATGCGATTTCTCTTTATTATCAGTAGCTTTCCCTAAGTTCCAAGCTGTTATTTTAATTTTTCATAGATCTGTTCGTGCAGTTACTGATTGGAAGTCAGTTACATTTTGTTGCAAATCATTATCTTGAAAAGGTAAATTAAGTTTTTCCTACTTAAAAATGCTGATCCCATGGTTCTTAATTTGGTCTAACTGGTTCCAAACAGACGTGTGTTGTTCGAAACCAAACCCAGTTCTGGAGTCAGTCCGACGTCGTCCCTGCTGGACAAGTCTGTCAGAAGGACCCTGCAAAGCTTCATTATTATTCTATGAGCACTTTGTGTCATGTGACTTATTGGAGCTTGTGAGTCATATTATTAGAGGTGTGTGGTTTTGTTTTAACAAACTCGGTGCACTTTAACCCACAGTAAATACCCAGACACATTAATAAAGGTTAGGGGAAATATGAAATTCTGTTACCAGTAAATGACACAGTTAAACACACAGGATGAGAGGTTGACCAAGTCTTACTGATCCGTTACATGG